CCCCCCCCCCCCCCCCCCCCCCCCCCCGCTTTTCTCAGCTCCCTGCCCCATCTCAGCTAACACTGCCACACCTACTGGACTCTCCCTGATTTCTCCTCCTCTCTCAAGCCCGGCCGAGAAATTCAGTGAGACAACCTCGATGGAAGTCCAGCGCCACGTCCAGCACAGCAGGTACTATATGCATTTGATGAAGTAGAAATGTCTTCTTGGTTCCTAGTCTTGGGTTTAAACCCTGCCTGGGTCCAGGAGATCATCATCTCTCACCTGGGCCAGAGAAGGAGCCTCCCCATTGGTCTGGCTGTCCCTGGACCTTCCTCCGCCCCATGTCAGCCTGATAACTTTCTCAACTACAAAGCTGATCCCGGCCCTCCCTTGTCCCATCAACTGAAGATCAAGGTCCGCATTCCTTAGCATGGCATCAGGGGCCCTGCAGAGCTGAGGCCTATTCCCTCTCCTTGCCTTCCTCCATCACCCACCCCACCCCCTGTAGCCATGCTGCCACCCCCCACGCCTTGCTCTTTCTCCTCCTGTATTTGATCACGTTGTTCCTTCTGCCTGGAATGTCTTTCCCATCTTCTCTGCCTGGTGAACTTCTACTCAGCCCACAAAGCCCAGCTCATCTTCTCTGGGAAGCCCACTCCCTCTCCATCAGGCAGAAAACTGTCTTCCCTGTGAGTCCCCCAGGCCCTCACAGAGAGGGACAGGTTAATTCATGTTGGTATTGGTTACCTCTAACCCCCATATCTTAATTGGGGTAGCACAGTCCCTTATATTTATATTTCTTTTAATCTAGAAATGCCCATTTCTCAGGCAAGGGAGGATCCTGAGGGGAGGATGGGCACCAGCACTGGTTGAGGGTTTTGACAGCTCAGGCACCTAGGAGCCAGTGTTGGAGACAGCCCCCTCCCCCCTAGTGTGCCTGTCTGGTTTACATCACACTTCCCTCCCTCCCTCCCTTCATGTGCCGGATCCAACACCCACACAAACCCACACCTGCACACACACAGAGACCGCCCAAGGCCACACACACCAATCCTGAGAATAATGCATTGAACCAGGTGTGGCAGGTGTGATGCTGGGTCCCCCACATACAGGACCCACTGGTCCCTCCCGCTTGGCTCTGGAGGCAGGGAGACTCCCTCTGACAAGGTCACAGAAGTGGGGCGGGAGGGAGGAGGGATTTGAATCTGGGCCTGTTGGACACTAAACCGTGTTTCCACCCCACACTGCTGCCTCCACAGCAAGGAACACGTGGACCTATCAACAGTTACTCATTAATACACAGCAATATTCCCTCTCCCCCTCCCTCATCCGCTGCCACCAGTCACTGCCCACCACCCCAGAGCTACCTCTGGTAAAGGGGGAGAGGGCAGCAAGGACACTACCCTCTGCGCCCCAGCTGTCCCCAGGGTCCAGCTCATCATGGGGGGAGCAGGAGGAGGGAGCTGGTTATGAAGGTGGCTCGGGCCCCAAGTCCCTCTTCTCCCGGTGACCTGTGCTCAGGGCATTGCACAGACAAAGGCGAGTTGACTGTAAACTGCTGAGAAAATGACTGCAAACCAGCCAGGACCGCCCCAGCACCAAACATTCTGACAGCCTGGGGCTGGCCCGTGGAGGGGGCAGGGCTGGGGAGAGCCAGGCCCAGTCCCCCAGGAGCCTCCTCCCTCCTGCCTCCTCCCCTGGACACCCCCCAGCACAGCCACCCAAGTGGGAGGTGAGGAGGAGACTGCAGGTGGTGGGGGCTGCCTAGATGCCTGGACCAGCAGGGCCCTTAGATGCACCCCCTTCCGCACCCCCATTCCTGACTCATGTATTGTACAAATGAAGAAGCTGAGGCTCACAGAGGGAAGGGACTTGACCAAAGTCTCCCAAGCAGTTAGAGGCAGAGCCAGTTAGAATGCATGCTCCTCTTCTTGTCTCCTTGGGTCTGTCTGACCAGCTGTGTGACCTCGGAAAAGCCGCACAACCTCTCTGAGCACTAAAGGCTTACAGCTCCTGACATGCTCACCCTACAGGGTTGTTGGGAGGAACGATAACAGTAAGGGTGGCGGCCGTTCGCCTAAATAGAATGCCCTACAATTTATAAAACGTTCCCATGTCCCATCTCTTCTCTGTTCAGAATAACTCTCTGAACTGGGAGGAATAGGAGTTCGGGGCTCCATTCTGCAAATGTAAGAAAATGACAAAGGTCACGCAGAGAGTTTCGGACAGAGCTGGAACTAGATCCCACGCCAATGCCCTCCCCATCGCTAAGTCACTCACAAGGCTGGGAGGGCACTGTGACTAAAGGACAGAGCGCTAACCACCATGGCATCAGGTAATGCGGACCCCCAGCACGCGCAGCAGCCCTGGGGCACAGCGGTAGCCTGAAGTCACACACCTCTGAGCCCCAAAGTGTGACACTTGGGAGCGGTGGGACCTCACCTTTCCGAGCCTTGGGCTGCACTGTGAAATGGAACTACAGAGGGACAGAAGGCTCCCAGGAGGCCCGCGCTGCACCGTGAATGCAGGACTGCCTGGCAGGTGGCAATCGCTCATTGACTTTGGTTCCAAGCACATGGATGACTGTGTGCTGGGTTTCACTGTGTCTCCTCATGGGCCTAGGTCAGGGCTCCAGATCCAGGGGGGCTTCTGATCAATCCTTATGATCAGAGAGGGATGGATGGACGGACAGATGATGGGTGAGTGAAGAGAAAGGGAGTGCACAGCGGGCATATGAAAAGAAGATTGAAAGATGGGCATTATGCCTGGGATAGAGGCTCAGCCGTGCCCTCTGGCCCCTGGCCCCCAGATGACCTGCCCCCCCCACACTGCCTACCTTGGGGTAGCACTGGCACATGCTCCAGATGACGCCCCCGATCACCATGACGCTGCCCATGGCGTAGAAGGTGCCGTAGACCTGGGGCCGGTCGTGGCTCATGAGGAACGTGCCCAGGGCCAGCAGGAAGAGGCCCAGCACAATGAAGCCGATGCGGAAGGTCTTCTCGTCTGCCATGGCCGCCCTGCCAGGCCGCGGTCTGTTCGCTGCCCGCCGAGGGGTGCCCGCAATCCTGCGTGGACACCCACGCTCCTCACACCCAGAGCGATGAGGCTCCGGGATCACTGCAAACCCGGACTGAGGGCTGCAGAGGGGGCAGGTCCCTCAGGTGCCGCCGCAGCTCCTGGGCCACAGTTCTCCAGGCGACAGCTACGCTTCAATGGGCCCGGCACCACCACCACCTTCACTCCTTCACCTTCCCTCTGGGCCCAGCAGGAGTGTGTGTGTGGCTCCGAGTGAGGGAGAAGCCGGGAGGGAGAGGGGTGGTTCCAGGAGCTGGGCCCCGGCCAGGGCTTTGACATCACCTCATTTGCCTGCGTGGGGCTGAGCTGGGTGGACAGGCGGCCCACACCGTCCAGTCCTGGGAAGGCGGGTCCAGTGCGCAGCCCGAACACATCAGAATGCCGCTGGGAGGTTCCAGGATCCCACAGGCTGGCATTTTAGAATCTGGAGGCATTCTGGACTCTTCAAGGTCATGTGCCCCTCTGAGGTCAGGAACAGTAGCCCATAGTTACAGATGGTGGCTGTGTCACGGTCCTAAACGTGTTATGTGGTACCCATTGAAGGGGAACCCCGTGAGGCACAGACCTTATGAGGACACCAGTGCACAAACTAGTCATTGCCAGGGTGACACAGCTAGAAAAGGCACAGCAGCCGGGATTCGAACCCAGAGGCCATGCCCCTAGCCACCCTGGGATACTCCCTAACTGTAGCAGGAGGGTTAAATGTTCGGGCTCCGGGGGCAGGCACATTGCCCGGTCTTGGGTTCTGGGTCCTCTACCCTGGGGCAGTGTGACTTTGGTCAAGTTACTTCCCTGTGCCTCAGTTTTCCCCTCTGTAAAATGGGGCTAATTACAGCATCTCCCAGGACAGAGCTGTCTGCTAGCCTGGCCTCCCTGGATTCCTCTGTGAGCGGCTCCCAGAAAGGCTCAGGTGCCTGGAGGCCCTTGTAGGGTGTGAATGACCGACAGCAGTTCCCTTGCCTTCTAATCTAGGAAGATGCCTTAGCTCTAAGAAGGACATTGTAATGGTGGGATTCCAGTTCTGGAGAGGGGCTGATGGGAAAAACCAAATTCCCTTACAGGATTGTAGGAAAATGAGGACTGTCAGTGTCTCTAAAAGGAAACGTTACCTTGTCGTTTGTACAGCGTGTGATTGCTAATGTGGGATCGTTGCTTCTATTTGGCGTCCTGGCTTAGTAGTTGGAGATTTTCTACTTGTTGTCATCACCGTCCCCCTTCTCCCAAATAAGAGCTGTGCTTCCAGACGCCGTACCTACACTCACACCAGACCCGCTGCCTGCTGTTCTGCCCACGCACACCTTTCCCAGCAGCGGTTTCTCCTTCATCCGCTCTGAGATCCCAGCGGGTGCGCGCCCTGCAGTTTGCAGAGGAGGCCCCTGCCGCCGAGCTCAGGAGAGCCCCCCGGGAAAGGTTGCTGATGGTCTCCGAGAAGGGCTGAGAGCCACCAGGTGATGTCCAGGTCTGATTGCCCGAGATGGTGGCTCCTCTCTTGGCTTTAGTTTTTTAAAGATCTGTTTTTATTGATTTTTAGAGAGAGAAGAAGGGAGAGGAATAGAGAGATAGAAAGATCATTGATCGGCTGTCTCCTGCATGCCCCATACTGGGGATTGAGTCTGCAACCCAGGCATGTGCCCTGACTGGAATCGAACCAGTGACCTCCTGGTTCATGGGCCAGTGCTCAGCCACTGAGCCACACTGGCCTGGCTTGGCTTTAGTTTTGTCACCTGAGTGAGGACTGAGGGTGGTATCGTTATTGTGCAGGACCTAATGGAGGAGAAACCGCGTGCTCATCAGTAGGGCAGGACCCACCTAGGAAACACTGTTATCATGATCTCATAGAGAGGACCAGAGAAGGGAAGCGGCGAGCGCCCCAGGTCCAGAAGGGCCCAGCCTGCGCTCTCTTCAGGGGCGGTGGGAACTCATCTCTGCGGTCCCGGTCCAGCAGGAGCCTCTCGCGCCCCCTTGTGGCGGTGTAGCATGCGCTCGTCAAGGCGCTTTCCACCCTTTGGGTCATGCCCCTGAGAGGGAAGCAGGAGAGGAGTTATTACGCGCCCCCTTGTGGCGGTGTAGCATGCGCTCGTCAAGGCGCTTTCACACCCTTTGGGTCATGTCCCTGTCCTTCCACCCGCCCGAGAGGGAAGCAGGAGAGGAGTTATTGTGCCCATTTCACAGGCGAGGAAACTGAGGCCGGGAGGAAAAGGGACTGGCCGAGATCTCCCCAAACTGAGATTGTGGCTGAGCAGAGACCGGGACCCACACGCCCAGCCCCAATATAGATGGATCTGGTCCTTAACCATTCCCGAGAGGCCTCCCCGTCACCAGAGCACTCTCCTCTTCTCCCCACCTTTCCTTTCCTCTCTACGACCCCGCCTCCTTTCTCCTTCTTATCTCCTCTTTAAAAAAAAATTTAAATGTGAGGAGTAAGGAGCTCTGGGCCAAGTAGGCGCTCAGCTAAATGGTCTAATCTAACCTCTTCCTCAGAGCTGGTGTGAGAGGCGCATGGGGACAAACAGGTGTGCATGGTGCCGTGACAGCATTGGGTTACCTACCCTGGTTCCCATTCCCCTCCCTGTGGCCTCTGACCTTCACCGCCTCCCCTGCAACGTGGGGGAGGAGAGGATGAGGAGTCTGTCCTCTTCCAGCAGGGGGCGCGCTCACCACTGTTTCCTTCCTGTCGGAATTGAAGATCCTCACAACATCCTCAGAAGCAGGGAGGGGAAAGATCACACCCATTGACAGATGCGGATACTGAGGTTCATGGAGGCAAGGTGAGCGCCTCAAGGTCTCAGAACCTGTCAATAGTAGAGCCAGGACTCAAACCAGTCCCCTCAGTCTCTTGCTGAGCACCTGCTCTGTGCAGGACACTCAGGTATGAGGCACTCTGACACACGCGGGGTTTCAGCGAGTGATGGCACTCGCCTTCCTTCTGGGATAAAATATGGTAAGGGCTCTGAGATACGCTTGAGGTCCACCATGTGCACCAAGGAGAGAGAGAGAGAGAGAGAGAGAGAGAGAGAGAGAGAGAGAGAGAGAGAGACTGACTGGAGTTGGGGTGAGGAATGAAGGGGGAGCGTCACAGAAGGGATCCTTGAGGAGTCAGCTGCAGTTCTGTCAGGGCAATAAAAGCAGGTCAGACAGAGAGTGGCATGTGCAAAAGCCCAGGCAAGTAAGCACTGACAGGGCTGGAGATACAACTCTACATGCTGTGCACACACGCCCTACACTGCAGGCTCCCCGCCTCCCTCCCCAGACCTACTCCTCCAAGTCAGCTCCATCCTTCTCCTGTTCTCCGGGCCAGTGCCTACATATCCTGGCTACAGCCTCCCCACCCCTCTCACACCTACATCCTGTTGGCTCTACCTCCAACGTGTAAGATTCCAATCACTTCTCTCCCCCCACTACTGCTCATCGCCTGGCCTGAGCCCCGCATCTCTGTCCCCCTAAGTGCTCTCTGCTCTTAACCATGCCCCCTGAAATCTCGTTCCAATCCGAATGCCAGGTCAGACCTTGTCACTCCTGCTCAGAACCCTGGAATGACTTTCTGTCTTACCAGCATAAAGCCAGAGACCTCAAATGGCCTAGAAGAGCTTAGACCATTGGCCCATGTCACCCAGCCCATCTTCCACCATGCCTCCCCTCTCCCTCCCTCCAGCCACTCCGGCTCCGTGCTCTCCGTGGAACACAGGCACCCTAGGAAGGGTAAACGGGCGCTTGCTGTTCCTGCTGCCTGCAACGCTCTTTCTCCAGATCTGTGACGGCTCCCTCCCTCACCTGCTTCAAGTCTTTATCCAAATGTCAGCTTTCCAGTGAGGTCTTTCCTGGGGTGATAGCACCAGCTCCCCAGGTGCTCTCTGTCCTCCCCAGCTGCCCTGTTCTCTATAGAACTCATTGCCATCATTCATGCTATATACATCACTTATTTCTCTTGTCTGTCTCCCCTCACCTAGAACCCGAGTGCCCAGATGGGGACTTTGTTCACTGTAGTATCCTCGGGGGCTGGGACAGGGTAGGCTCTGGACTCATATTTGGGAATGGAGGGGTGGGCGTCAGTTCCGGGGGAGAGGGATGCTAGAAAGGAAGCACAGGCTGGAACCTCCTGGGACCATGCGAAGGTCTCCAACGTCTTTCTCAGGAGTCAACAGAGCGCCTCTAAACGGGGTGTGCAGCGGGCTGACAGATCAGACTTTGATTTTACAACGATCCTCTGGTTTTGAGGTCAGGTCAGAAGAAGCAAGAAGAGATGGCGGCAGTGAGGGGAGACTGCTGGGCTCTGGCAGAAACCTAGGGGGACAAGGCTACAGAGAACAATTTTTAGAAGTAATTAGTTGCTGGGGAGGAGGAGGGTGGTGTGGAAATTTACAGCTGGGAAATTTCTGACTGATTTGGGGTGGAGAGCTGCAGGGGTCAGGGTCACCCGCCAACCCAAAGGGCAAGCTGAGGGAACGTGGGGGACAGGCCTAAGCTCTGAGGGTCCCTGACATCCCAGGCCTCGTGGCAGGCGCCAGATGTGGCCTCTGAGTGGTGAAGATGCCAACAGGAGTGGTGAAGACGGGCCCAGGAGGAGAGAAACCAGGAAGCAAATCGGTGCCTACTGGGGGCTGTGGAATGGCAGACGCGTCCTCACAGGGCTTCTCCACCCCACGCCCTGCCAGGGAGCACAAGGGCCCCCAGTTCACAGCGAGGCCACTGAGCTCAGAAGGGTCGGGGGGTTTGTCTGACAGGAGACTGGCTCCATGGCTCTGACTCACCCTCCAAGGTGCTGGTGACCTTGAGCAAGTCACTGCCCCTGCTGGGGCCTCTCGCAGGTGAGTTGGTACAGAGAAAAGCAGAAAAGGGCTTTCCAGTCTTCCAGCCCACCCCGCCCTCCACACCTTCCAGCTCCCACCAGGCAAAGGAAGGGCCTCCTGGCCAACCTGCAACTCATTAACTCACCTGCCTGGGGGAGAGGCCTCACTTTGGGGTAGGAGAGAGGCTGGGCTCTGCTTCCCAGCTGTGATCCTATTAACCCTTTAGGAATTTCAGAGAGAGAGATAAACCCCCACCCATATCCTTGGGATGCATATGGTGTGTGTGTGTGTGTGTGTGTAAGAGAGAAAGAGGGGGAAGAGAGAGAGAGAGAGAGCAGCTCAAGGTCTGGCTCTGCCTTTATTCTCTGTGATTTTACCTCCCTGAGGCTCAGTTTCCAGGCCTGTTAAATGGGAACACCACCTGCAGCAGAGCAGGCTTGAGGATGTAAAACCAGGGCAGAGGGCGGCCCTCAGTGACTATGCAGCTGAGCCCCAGGACCCGGAGTCCCTGCTTGCTGTGTGACCCTGGAAAGGTTAGTTAACCTCTCTAAGCTGGCCTTCTTGTCTGTGAATGGGGTGGTACAGAGATGCAGGGATGAATGCTGTAGCTGGAGAGAGAGGGGAGGTAACCGGCTCCCTGTCACAGGAGATATGGGAGCAGCAGCTGAATTTGCCTCTGGTGGAGGGGGTGGGGCTTTCCTCTGTGAACAACTCTGACAGTCACTACATACACCGTAGACACCTGCCACAGGGCTGAGACATCTGCATCTATTAGATGCATTAGCACTGAGCTATGTGTGAGCTGCGTCAGTGTGCGCTTTCATGTCAGCCGCTATCATCTGGTTCAATCCTCTCAGCTGAGCTCTCTGAGGCAGAAGGTGATGCCACTATATTTCCCAATTCCCATTTTATGGATGAGCACACTGAGGCAGAAAGAGGAAAAGCCACTTGTCTAAGGTCACTCAGCTGGTCCATGGGGGAACCAGCACAGTGGTCTGAATGCAGAGTCCATGTGCTTTTGGTTATAAACTCAGTGTGACCTTGGCCAGTCCTGGCTCTGCCTCAGGGCCCCACTTTTCTCAGCTGCACAATAAACCCTCCCAGCTGACAGCCAGCTCTACCCGCCGGTCGGAGGAGTGCACCCTCTGGGGCGCTCTGGCCCAGCCGGGCCGCCGAGATTGCAGCCCCACACACATCACATGGGGCAGAAGCACCACCAGCTGGGCCCAGGCAGCCCATAGAGTCGGGAGAGATAATGAAATGGATTTACTTTAAGCCTCTTGTTACACAGCAACAGACGAATAAAGCAGCACTGAGAGGCAAGCGTCCATGGAGCGCCTGCTGTGAGCCGGGCACCATGCCAGACACCAGAAGCAGCTCATGCATTGTCTCTGGACTCAGGGCCTGCGAGGGGCCTTTCCCTTCCTCCCACTGTGGTCTGAACCAGCTGGTACTGTCTCTCCAGGGAAGACAGCGGCAGCAGGGATGACGCTCTCGTAGCTGGGCGGAGGCGAGGCGGGCTGGCCCCCAAGCAGGGCAGCCCCGGAGGCGCTGCACGGCAGGTCTTCCTCCGTGGGGTACGCAGGTGGTGCCAGGGGGCCCTCAACCAGTGGGCAGTGCACGGCCTCCTCATAAGTGGGGATGGCAACCAGCTCTGGGGTCCTGGAGGGACAGGAGAACAGAGGCTGTTAGCAGGGGCGGGGGCAAAGCCACTGCGTGCCAGGGAGAGAGACGGGGGGCCCTGCCTTGGGCCAAATTCTTTGTGAGTCCCCCGGGACCCCATGGACACACCTGGAGCTTGGCATGAGCTGCTCTGCCAACCTCAGCTGTCTATCCCACCCACCCTGCCTCCCCCATGTGCTCACCAGGCCTCCGCAGCTCTCGGTAGGGAGAGTCCTCACCCGCCTCACCCCTCCCTGCTGCTGTCCCCGTCCCCACTGGCCCTGACACTCCTCCGGAAAGTTTCCTGACTGCTAGCTCCCCCAACAACACTCCCATAGTGCTCTGGGCGCCCACAGTGCCCTCCTGCCCCCACACAGACGCCACCTGGTTTTCCTCTAGGGCAGGGACTGACTTTGAGGGTCATGGAGCTAAGGGCAGATGCTTGGGGGTGTTTGTTGAAAGACTGAGTGATAGTCCACAGGCAGAAGGGCTCCTGGCTTACTGTCACAGTTCTTTTTTTAAACATACTTTTATTGATTTCAGAGAAGGAGGGAGAGGGAGAGAGAGAGAGAGAGAGAGAAACATCAATGATGAGAGAGAAATATCGATCAGCTGCCTCCTGCACGCCCCCTACTGGGGATCAAGCCCACAACCCGGACATATGTCCTGACTGGGAATCAAACCAGTGACCTCTTGGTTTCTGGGTCACTGCTCAGCCACTGAGCCACGCCCGATCAGCTGTCATATCTCTCACAAGAGCCAGAGTTGTGGATGCTCAGAGCAGGATGGGAGACCTCAGCTCTCCTGCCCACCTGGACGCCTGAGGCCCTGATGTGATCCGTGCGCCAAGGGAGTACCTCTGCTTGGCCACCCCGGAGATACAGTCAGCCACGCCGGTCCGAGCAGCCTGGCTTTCCTGAGACCGGCCTCCAATCCCTGAAATGACCCACCGGGCAGGGACGAGAGGCAGAGACCAGGTCCCGAGGCTCCTCCAACCAGGCTCTGCAGCTGGATTCCAAGAACAGACCCCCCGCCACACAAGTGCTGATGGGAATGGACCAGCCCTCAGAGGGCCCCAGTGGGTCACCTCTGGGGAGTCCCTTTCCCTTCCCCCCTGAGGACTGTGGAGGGGGGTAGGGGGTGTCACTGATCCTAGGCCTGCTTCTGCTTTGGGGACGATACTGTCAGATCCAGGGGCTGATAGGTGATCCTGAAAGTCCCTTCCCACCTCGGTCACTCGAGGCCTGGCTGTGAGTCTGGGCACTGGCTGGTTCAATCCCTGTTCTGCCACATTCCTGGTGGGCCACCAGGGTCAGTACCTCCATTAGCCTGGGCCTCAGTTTCCCCTCCGTAAACGGGGACAATAATGGCCCCTCTCCCACAGAACTGCTTGGCACATGCTCTGTAAATGGCCGCCAGCCACCAAGTCTCAAAGGTCTCCTTGAGGAAGGGGTATGGGGAGCAAAGCTCACCCCAGATCTCCCGCAGGAAGGCTGTCACTCGCCCAGGGTCACCAGTTTGCAGCGGGTGCGGAAGCCGTTCAGTCCACATAGTGGACCTGCCTATCTAGACAAAGGAGTGGCCGATGGCAGAGGCTGGCCCAGAGGACAGAAGAGGAAGTGGAGGGGACTTCGCTCCAGGGGTTAGGAGGTGCCAAGCTGGGACCTGCGGATGCCCCTCATGTGAGCACCCACCACCCGCTGGGGACATGGCGTGTCTCTGGGCAACGTGTCTTCTCAGCCCAAGCCCAACGCAGCCCTCAGAGTGGCCCAGGGGGAGGCAGGCTTGCTGCTCCAGCCACAGACAGGCCATGAAGCAGGCAGTGTGATGGAGGGCCCAGCCGGGAGCCAAAGCTGGGATTCCCCATCCAGTGCTCTTCCAAACTTCTCACAGACCCTCCTCCTCTGAGCCAGCCCAGGAGCCTCGCAGCAGAGGAAGCGAATAAGAGACCTCATCCTTCTCTGCACTCCCAGCATCCTTTGCAGGTGAGGGCAGGCAAAGATCATTGCTCCTGGAGGCAGGCAAGCCAGGTTCTATTGCTGTGTGACCTAGACTGTGTTCACAACCCTCTCTGAGCCTCTTTCTCCTTATCTGTAAAATGGGGGGAACGATTTTCATTTTATACATTCAAGGCAGAGAAAAATGGAAAAAGCTTTGACAACACTCAGAAAAAAATGGAGGTAAGAAGGCTTCCAGCGCTCCACCTTTCCCGCCTTGGTCACTTCTCAGCCACACCTCTGCCGCGCCCCTCTTCTCCAAGCCTGAGGACATGACACAGGCATTGGGTATGCGTGGGGCCACCCCAGCAGCTAACTGGGGAGAGGGCATAGGTGAGGTGAGCCTGCAGCAGGAAGTTTGCTTAGAGGGCAGACTGGAGTGGCCCTCATGCCACCCACTGGGCCAGTTGGGCCCACCCAGCGCCAAGTGTCCATGCGGGGTGGCCATAGCGCACACTGCGGAGGAGGCTCTGTCTATGGTGCTCTGGATGGGGCACCCTGCAGTGGCGTGGGGCCGGCTGCCACTAGGGTCCCATGCACAGGGAGCTCCACGGGGCTGGGCTCACCACTCTCTGGAGCCTGGTTGGGGCCAAAGACCTGGCCTGGCGCCAGTCTCCCGCCCTCAGCTGAGTCAGGCAAACATGGTAGGAAAAGGGATGAAATACCGTATTTGCCGGCGTATAAGACGACTGGGCGTATAAGACGACCCCCTAACATTTCCACTCAAAATACAGAGTTTGTTATATACTCGCCGTATAAGACTACCCCCTCTTCCGCACACCTTCCACACACCAAATAAAAGGTAAAACAATATCAGATTTGATTTTAACATTTTAATTTATATTCAAATGCTTATGACATGCAGGAAAACTGTCACAAGGCTGTATGTAATCAAACATATACATAAAACAGTGCAAGTTTATTACCGGTAAACATACCGGTAATTCACTAAAGAAAACACACTCTATAGACTGGTACCGTAGATGCTTCTCAGGAACACAGGCAAGCAGCCCACAACCTAGAGGGACTGTCAATGATAGAAGAAAGAT